GCATGCCAAATGAACATATTCTATAAAGGTCCACACTTTTCCTAGAGGACAGAGCTTTAGCTCAGCACTTCCAGCAGCAAAAGATACAGGATGACTAGGTTACATGATTCAGTACCCTTAAAATGTAAACAAGAAGGTAGCGGGGTCTTTACAGAAAGGGCACTAGGTAATGCTCCAAAATCCTCGATAACATCCTTGTGGCTGATCTGTCACGGCTTTGGAAGACATTCCTCATAACAACCAAGTGACAGCACACAAGTAGATGAGTGTACACACGCTGGGGAAGAAATACACATGCTGGAAAGGAGTGCACACGCTGGAGAAGACTGCACACGCTGGAAAATACTAGCAGCTGTTCCAAGAAGAGACCCAGGTACAGAGCTCCTTGTGAGTCTAGACTCCATTCTGACTAAAAAACCTGAAATACAGAGGTTGAATACACCACTTGACTTTGAAAATAAACAAAGTTTGATGTCGATGTCTGCGATATGTCTACAGTTTTGTGACATTCTCAGAGGAAAGGCTGGCTCAAAACAAGTATTACTGATGAAAATTAAGACCTGGGTGCCTGGATCCTGCAGGCAAGTCTATGTGGTTTCTCAGCTGAGCCTTAATCCTGCAGACAAGCCTACATGGTCTCTCATCTGATCCCGAATCTTGCAGGCGAGCCTACATGATTTCTCAACTGAGCCTGGATCCTGCAGGGGAGCCTACATGATTTCTCAACTGAACCTGGATCCTGCAGGTGAGCCTACATGGTTTCTCAGCTGAGCCTAGATCCTGCAGACAAGTCTACACAGTCTCTTATCTGAGCCTGGATCCTGAGGACAAGCCTACAAGGTCTTTTTTCTGAGCCTGGATCCTGCAGGGGAGCCTACATGATTCTCAGCTGAGCCTGGATCCTGCAGACAAGCCTACACGGTCTCTTATCTGAGCCTGGATCCTGCAGGCAAGCCTACATGGTTTCTCAGCTGAGCCTCAAGACTGGAACACTTGAGGTACGCTCTTGTCTGATAGAAATTCAAATGTTCTCAAGCAATGTGCCAAGATATATGTGACCTTTAATACAGGAATGTAAAAAACAATCCAATCACCTAGATAGATTTTGGCTAAAATTGCAAAGGATTGGTGGGGTTTCTTCTATACAGTACTTTAAAAACAACAACAAAAAGACAAGATGCCTTTTGCCTGCGGGTAAAATTATAGGTAAAGGCACTACCAATAATTTTCCTAGGTGATATATTTTGATTTTTATTTGTTCGATTGGTTTGGTTTTCTGCTTGTTTGTTTGTTTGTTTTGAGACAGGGTATCACTACACAGCAACTCACTGTGTAGACCACATTGGCCTTGAACTCACAGAAATTCACCTGCCTCTGCCTCCCACGTGGTTGGCCCTAAAGGTTTGGGCCACCATGCTCAGTCCCTCGCTGATGTTTTTGAAGTTTAAAACTAGCAACCTTTCTCTCTCTACTGACACAATCTGAGCTTCACTTGTAACCTTTGGTTGTTTTGATAGTATGTTACACAGGAAAACCACGGCCATAGCTGCAGATACATTCACAAGCAGTCATCCATTTGTCCATACTGTGGTCCAAGAGAATAAAACTAAGAGCCTGGCCCCTTGGATCATAGAGATGAAGCTCTTTTAGACCTTGAACATCCAAATGAAGTCCTAGCCATCCAGTCTAGTCTTCAACACAAGGGCGGAGATGCATTTGTGCAAGAAAACAACAAAAAAAAAAAAAAAAAAACTTGCTGAAACTCAACTCATAGGAGGTCGAAGTACTAATCAGACTCCCAATTTATTAATTGATCAAAGGGAATATTCCTTTCCAGTAATCAGAAAACACGAACCTGATTCCAGAGTGCTACTTTCTCAATGTTCGTAGAATCCTTAAATAATAATCAGAAGTTTACCAAATATTAGAAAGAGGGCACAGAGAATGTGAGGAACGCCTACTAAATTGGTTATGGGTGCCCAACGAAAGCTATCACTCGCACAGGCAAACCATCTCTCCTTGGTTACCACTGCCTCATCGTGGCAGACTTCCAGCTCTTCTCTCCATTGAGTACGTCCAGCTAAGACACACTACAGCTGAAGAGGATTCACCTTACATGCATTACTGTCCCCATCTCTTTTTGGATAAAACACTCCTAGAAAAAGCTGCTTAAGCAATTGGCCCAAGCTCACGGCAGCTACTAAGTCACAGAGATTCTAAGTCAAAGCACACAGGGCATGGTGGCTCAGGCCTATACACTCAGCATCAGGAAGTTAAAGGAGGGGTGGTTTAAAAGATTGCTCTTGTGTCCCCAGAACACCATACTTTTACTTTTAGTCTAGGAGTCTATCTCTCTCATTAGTCTGAAATTCCTGGGGAACAGAAGAGGTGGTCAGTCATCCCAACAGTTCTACAGATAAACATGCAATTTTTGTTTTATCTGTCCAGTAAAAAGACCAACAAGCCAAAAGTCTCAAACTAGCTGTAGAGCCTTAAGAAGGTCACAGTGTCTCTGGCCATCAGCACCTCATCTAAAAAAAACAGGATGAAATCAACATATATGGATGAGATGTACAAGGACATGTATATGTCTCTTCTGAATCTCAACAGTACTTTAATGGCTTGTCTTATCAGTATGAATTATCACAAATAAGGTTTAACTTATTTACCCTCTGTGCTGTGTGGGTTGTGTGTGCTTGTGTGCATGTGTAGATACACAACTCATAGTTCAGGAAAGGCTCCTTTTCTGAAAGGATGTAACAAACATCCAAAAAGTCAAACAGTGGCACCCTCCTCTGGTGAATGTTGAAGGAGCCAAGAACACAAACAACATGAACTAGATGGTGGGATCTTTTTCAAATGAAGAGCAAGAGAATAAAAAAGACGAGAGAGAAATCACCCAGTAGTATCTGTTATTATCCCAGTCCTAATAGCAACCTAATAACACATTTATAGCACTTCCTATTTTACCTTCTTAAGATAAAACAAAGTCAAAGAGAACTGACTGCATGTGATAACAGGGGCTAAAACAATTGCTCTGTTTCCATGAGGACTGGTATCATTAGCTATTTTACAAACAGCAAGCATTTTAACAGAAGGAGCAATAAGAAACATTTCACAGTTTGGCTAATAGTGGTCATCTTCTCAGTTAATACTTTCTTAAAATGCAATGAAAGCTGCATACATGTAGAATGCTGAGTTAAGGGAAGCCTCCAGCACACCCTTTTTTGGGTGGTGTATCTACCCCAGGCACTGCTAGAAAGCTCTCAACTGAAACTTCTGGCTCTGCGGCTCCCAAGTCTTCAAAGACTCCAGTGAAAAGATTCCCACCATCCAATCACAAGCGTGAGCCCAAACCATGCCAATATGTCCCCTCTAGACAAGCACAGGCCAGTGTTCTACAGCTCGGATATTCCACCAAAACTTCTAGAGCTGTGCTTTCCAAACCCAGAGTCAGATTACCAACAACTGTCTTACTCTAGATAGATAATAAACATATTTATTAAATTATTGACAGGGGAGAAAATCACATAGTTTCCTTCGCGCCCCCCCCCCACTGATTTCAGGCACACGAAACGGCATTATGACTCAGTTATTACACCGTCACCCCTGGGACTCAGGTATCTTTTTGCACAGTGCACAGCATCTCCTATCTCAATTAGCATCCTGTCTTTCAACTGCTCTATGGTCAAGGGGAGGAGCACTCCAAACCACCCGGAGACTTCAGAAGTGTAATGAACGAGAAACTTTCATTCTGAAGGACCCATTATAAACAGACAGAGGGGATGAAAAAAAAATGCTTAAAGTCTAATTCCAGTCTTATCATCTAAGCTTTGCAACTGTTTGGCATTCTCGGCAAAGTTGGCAGGTAGGCACCATACCTGGGCAAGATACGCAAATGATGAGTGAAGAATGCAGATAAGATAACCAATCAAAAGCTTCCTCGGTGTTTACCAAAACAAACAAAAACAAAACACTGCTGGACCAAAGAACAAGCAAACACCCGAGAACAAGAACATGCCCTACAGTTCCCAGAGGAGGAAAATGGGTAAGAGTTTGGTGGAGAAGAAGAGGCAGAGAAGGAATAGGTGATAAGGAAGGCTGCCAAGAAGGAGGTGGGGGAGCGTGATGCAATCAAACAGTTACAAGTGTCTAACCGAGACAGATGTCAGGACAACGGCGCTTAGCTCTGCAGCCACATTTTAACACTCACGGCGTCTGGGCACAGGCCCAAGGGCAGGACCTCCAGGAAACCTGAGATTCCACACTCTCCAGTGTCAGAAATTTGCGAGAAAGACCTAAAGCAGGCTTTAGCCCATTTCCTGCTCCCAGATTAAACCCCTAACAAAGGCCTATAGAAGAAAAGAGACATTGGTATCCCCAAGCTGGTCACTGCACAGAGGTCAAGTGTGGCCACTGCCTGCTCTGCGCACAGCCACCTCTCCAAAAGCCAGGCAGCCAAAACCCACCACCAGGGAAGCATCTCTGTCCCCTGTCCCATTACACTAGCAAAGTTGACAGACTTGGGAAGAAGCGCAGCGTTGCCGCTGGGGGGTCCTTCCCTAGAGCGAAGGAAATGAGAGAAGTCACAGCTTCCTTCACCTTCACTGAATCTATCCAGCAGATGCAGGCTTCTTCCCTTTAGGGGTGCACTGAAGGCACCACCGTTTTCCTTGGCAGCTAATTCGCTTCAAACCCTAGAATTAGGACAATGAGGCCCGAGGACAAAGTTCACTGGATATACTATTGGTTCTCCCCGGAAAACCAACATTTACTGGCATCTGACCTTGGTAAGTTTGTGTTAAAACGGCACGAAATATCCAGTGTAAGTCTCGGCTACACTGAACGCTCGGACCCCAAGATCTCTTTGGAGGGGTCTTGGCAACTTATATCACATCTGTCATCCCAGGTCATCACCACGCCCCTCTCACCCAGATCCGACCCCGCCACGCACGCGATGCCCGGTTATTTACACGCGCACGGACCCAGAGAACTCCTACCTCGCCGCCGTGCCCATCGAAGATCCCGAAGATGGATGGGTGCGTCTTGTTGGCCAAATCGGTGAGAACTTCGAAGCGATCTTCCATATGGTCTCTCCGGCCCTGGATGGAGTACACTGCCACATTATGGCTCTTGAACTCCCAGGTCTTGGAAAACTCGGCCTCTAGCACATCAAGTCCTCCAAGGCGATCGTTCTGCATAATCTCGGCCACCTTGCCCTTCACCATCTTCACCGCGTCCCGGCTGGACTTGACGATGGTCTTCACTTCGTCTGTGTGGAAGAAGTAACTCCACAGAGCCAAGCTGATGCACAGCAGAAAAAGTGTCTCGGGTCTCAGCAAGAAGTAGCGCATGATGCGACCCAGCAGAGACAGCAAAGTCATTGTATCCTCTATCATTTATTATCCCTAGAGCCCCAACCAGCAGCAGCGACGCGCGCCCCGCAACTCGCGGGGTCCGAGCTCTGCGGGCACAGCCCGCAGGGACTGAGGCAAAGAGGCAGCCCGGGCCGGGAGGATGAACCCACGACGGGTCGGAACAGGCGCCCAGAGCGATGGCAGTTTCCCTTTTGTCTAGGCAGCCCCGAGGCCCGTGCCCGCCGCCCGCGCCGCCTTCCTTCCCCGCGCTCTTTGTGAGACCGCAGCGACGGCGGCGGCGGCGGCCGCCGCGGGTGCCCTGGGTGGGCGACAGGAATCAAGTTAAAGTTGCGCCGAGCCGGTCCGCAACGGTGAACAGGATTTCGGGGAGCCGACGCCCGCGCGGTCCTTTTGGGGGTCCCCCCTCGCGATTCCCGGGAGCAATCGGCAGGTGAGGAAGCGCAGGGCGCAAGAGCCCGGCGGCGGGCGAGGGTTGCACGTCCCCCTCGATCGCCGGTGCCGGCGAGCGTGGCGACAGCGGAGCGCTGCGATTTCGTCACACACCCCGGGGGAGCCCGAGACAATAAAAGTTTTGCGGGCGCCTGGGCAAAGGCAGGGAGACAGCGAGCCGGGAAACGCAGCACGATGGGTGCGGAGCCACCGGCAGGCTCTGCCTGCCTCTCCCCGGCACCTCGCGGCTCGGCTCGGCTCGGCTCTGCTCGGCAGCGCCCGGCTCCGCTCGCCCCGCCCCGCACGCGTTGGCCCCGCCCCGCCCCTGGAGTGGAGCTTCCAGACCGCGTCGCGCTCTCACCCGACTGGGGGCCCTGAGGAGCTCGCTGTGGCGGACGCGCGTGGGCAGCAGGCAGGTCGAGGCGAACCGCGGGGGGGGGGGTTGGGCGCGCGTCCAGCCGCCCAGCTCCAGCGGGTCGCCGGTTCTGCTTAGGGGGTCGTCTCCCGGGGACGGTGTGATAGGGAAGAGACTGCACTGAACGCTGGTTTCTCGGGCGACGCGGCTGCTAGCTGAGGAGCCGGGAGCTGCACGTGAACGGTTCCCCCTGCGGCACGCTGCACAGTGGTGCCGTCCACGCCTACCCTTTCCTAAGGCTAGCAAGATGGGACACATTTCCCCCGGCTCGCGAATCGAAACTGAGTGATTAGTTTGGCCACAAGAGGCTGTCGCCGCCAGCGAGGCCCGCCTGGATCTCCCGAGCGGCGGGACGCGGTCCGGGGCCCCAGCAGTTTTGCCCCTTGGACACCAAAATCGGGGACCTCAGAGCCGGAGATCGGGTTTGTGTGGCAACCTCGGGAGATCCAGGAAAGGCTGGCCTCTAAAGATTGGGACTGTCCTGGTCGCCACGGAGTGTCCTCCGCGAGCGACTCTCCCTGCGGTTCAGGTTGGCAGTCTTCTGGAGGCTCCGAAGTGACAGCTACCTCCTCAGTCCTCGCAGAAGTTGAGGGCAAGAGTATAAACAAGGGTGGACCTCGGCAGGGCAGGATAACTTGAAATGTGGTCAAGGGCTGGTCGCCTGGAAAAAAAAAAAAAAAAAAAAACAAGTGACCTTTAAAGGAAAATTTCCACTCTCTCTTCCCCTGTCCACGAAGAACGGTGCTGATCCACTGGACTGGCGTTCAGGCCTCCAGATACCCTCCCAGCCAATGTGTTCCCCCAAACTCTTCCGCTTTCTTTTGAGCCCAATTACATTTTAAGCTATAAATATAAGTTGGGCAGTGGTGGCGCAAATCTTTTAATACCTGCACTTGAGAGGCAGAGGCAAGTGGATCTTTGTGAGTTCAAGGCCAGCCTGGTCTACAAAGCTAGTTCCAGGACAGCCAAACTGTTACACAGAAAAACCCTGTCTAGAAAAACCATGAGTGTGTGTGTGTGTGTGTATACACTGGAAAGAAATAAAACAAAATATTCAGAGTCGGGGCTGGAGAGATGGCTCAGTGGTTAAGAGCATTGCCTGCTCTTCCAAAGGTCCTGAGTTCAATTCCCAGCAACCACATGGTGGCTTACAACCATCTGTAATGATATCTGGCGCCCTCTTCTGGCGTGTGGGCATACATGCAGGCAGAATGTTGTATATATAATAAATCTTTTAAAAAAATATTCAGAGTCAGTAACTAAAGCAGTAACCATAACTATTCTCATTTTCTTCATATTTTTGTCTATTTTCCATAACTTCCAAAGTTTAACAAAAACCTAGACTTCCCTCACAACCAGAAAAAAAAGAATATTTATCAATTTAAGTGGCACATATATGATCCCAACAATAGAAACATAAACAAATATGAACTTTTAAGAGTATATTTTTGGAAACTAGAATATGGTCTTTAATATATGATTCTAAGCTGGGACAAAAGGTGAGTTCCACCACGCCTGGCTGCAAAGGTTTTTAGATGTAGTAGATGTCTCCATACACACAACAATGTTCTAATGAAGGCAGAGAGCTGTTATCTGTGTCTAGGATATAAGGAAGTTACGGCCCAAAGATGTTAAAAGTTACAGTACAGCAAATAAGTTGAACCCAATTCTCATCATGCAATATTCTAACGTCCATTAATCGCCAGTGATACCGAGATGATTCGTATAATTCTTATCTGATGACATTTCAGTTCATCTTTGCTACAGAAGTCTCAACAGCAACAAAAACTATATGGATTCTTATGCCACACATTTGGGACAGCACGGCTCTGTTAGTATCCGACACAACTACAAATAAGTTGTCCTTCACCTACACAGTAAACACCTAAAAACCCTGTTGCTTAAGTGAATTTTTTTTCTGAATTTCACAGGAAAGAAAGGTAGTATAAAATGCACACTGTACAAGTACCTAGACGTACAAGGAACTCGGTAATGAACACTGAGCTAATGGCAGTCCTACATTTTCTTGAGATAGAAGAGTGACAGTTACTAGGTAAAGACTGGAGAGATGGCTCTGTTGCTGACATGCCTGCTGCTCATGGCCACTGAGTTCAGATCCTGTCTTGCTTAGGGTGTCCACCGCTGCGAAGAGACACCATGACCACAGCAACTCTTCTAGAGGAAACCACTTCATTGGGGGCTGTCTTCCAGTTCCGAGGTTTAGTCCATTGTTGTCACGGCAGGAAGCATGGCAGCACCCAGGCCAACATGATGGAGAGGGAGCTGAGAGTTATGCACCAGGACCCACAGGCACCAGGAAGAGTGATACTGAGCCTGGCTTGGACTTCTGAAACCCCAAAGCCCACCCCCCAGTGACACACTTTGTCCAACAGGGCCCAATAGTGCCACTCCCTGTGAGCCTTGAGGACCATTTTCATTCACATTACCACAGATCCCAAGACTCTGTGTCAAAAGTTGGACATGCACCTGTGGTCCCATTGTTGGTGAAGTGGAGACAGGTGTATCTCAGGACCTGTTGGCCAGTCCAATGCGTAAGCTCTACATTTAGTGCGAGACCCCGTCTCAAAAAAAAAATAAATAAATAACCAGTAATCACACTCTCCAGTATGATGTTTCATTATGTCCTCATCAGTTTTTGGTTTTCCTACCTTATACAAAGTTAAAAATATCTAATGTGGTTTACCTTCTCAGTCTGTAGGTAATGAAAGTGATAAAAAAAAAAAAAAAAAACCTCTGGTGTAGAGGTCGGAGAGATGGCTCAGTGATTAAGAACACTTGTTGCTCTTGGCGAGGACCAGGTTCAGTTCCCAGCACCCACAGAAGTCGCTCAAACCATTCAAAACTCCAGTTCCAGGGAATTTGGTGCCCTCTTCAGACCTCAAGAACACCAGGCATGCACACAGCGCCCAGACATACATGCAGCCAAAACATTCAGACACATAAAGGTAAATAAACCTAAGAATGTTTTAAAGGAAAGCCAGTGAAGGAAATTTCAAATCATGTAGAAAATTCTCTGCACATTTTAAACTTGTCAATTATCACTTTGAATCATGCTCTTAATTTTTTTATCATTTCTATCCAAATATATGTTTGTGTTAAAGAGGACTGTGTTGGACACTTTTTCTGACATTCTACAGTATATGACTCTATATGTAAGCCTTTCCAATATACACTGTGGCACAATGCCTGTTCTATGCACTACAGGACGGTTCGCGAATCGGGCAAAGACCTGGAGATTAAAACATACACACACAGAGAGAGAGAGAGAGAGAGAGAGAGAGAGAGAGAGAGAGAGAGAGAGAGAGAGAGAGAGAGACAAGAATGGTCCCTTTATTGTGTTCCAAGGCAGCTTATATAGGGTCTCCTTGACTAATGGCCATGCTTTAACTCTCAGCTGCAAGCCCCCAGAAACCACTCCCCTGCCATCAGGAACTGAGGAACCTCAGAGCAGCTGCAAAACAAGTTGTTTACTCTGGCAGGCAGGAAATTCAGGGTCTGGGGGTCCACAGTCCCCAACAATACACAGGAAAGGGTACCTTAAAGTCTTCTTTTGAAGCTCAACCCCCATAAATACTACAGACATAAAGCAATGGCCCGGTCAAAAAGAAGACTGTACCAACAATGAAGATTTCTCCTTAAGCCCCTTCCCTAACTGTCCTCCATGGCTATCCTGCTAAGCCGCATGTCGGCATCCCTGATTACGTATGCTCGAGTTTTTGTCTAGGTTAGCTTTCAAGGTTTTGTTTTGCTTTTCTTTTTCTTAAATAAAAATAACTGTATTGCAATGAACTTACAAATAAAAACATCACGCAGCTAGATTAATGCAGCCACTCAAACACACCTCCGCCCAGTGCCGAACTCTATACGTCTCGGTGAACTGCTGTGTAGTTAGACTGGCCATCCTGAAGCCCTGGAGCTCCACTCGGGGCTCTGTACACTTTCACCATCAAGTCTGGTTTTACACAGTTATCTACCACATAAAGAAAGACATGACCATTGTAAAAAAGAAAATCAATTAGCTTTTGTCCTCGCTCACGAGATTTCGGCCTTTCCGAAATGCTGTCTTGCTGTCGGTGATCTTCTAACACTTGCCTTTTGGCCCACGACTGTATTTCCGGATCTTCACATGTTGTCACAAATAGCTGAAATTCCATCCGTTTGCTGATGTATCACCTCCCATCAGTAATATACTAGTTACAGAAGTAGTGGGTTGCTCAGTTTTTGGGTTTTGTTTGGATGAATGATTTCCTGAATTTATATGTGTATTACCTCATAGTGCGCATGTGTATAA